TGTAGTCGACCGTGGTTCGAGTCCTGGACCCAGTGGCTTAAACTCACGCCAGGAGGGTGTGCGTGCGTGCCCAAGATTCCGAGAGGAGAATGGAGGAGAAAGGATTGTGGCGTGGCCATCCCCCCCGGGGGGGTTATTTCTCGCTTTCTGTCTCTCTGTTTTTCCGGCAAGTGCACGTGCCCTGTAGCAAAAACCTCTAAGAAAAAAAAAAAAGAATACAGTGGGCCTGGGGACCAGCAGATGATGTAATGGTTACGTTTCTGGACTCCCACGTGGTGGACCGAGGTGAGAATCCCGGACCTGGCGGCTTAAAAACTCACGCCGGGTAAATGTGCATGCATGCCCAAAATCCTGAGAGGAGAATGGAGAAGGGACTGCAGCATGGCCAGCCCTCTGGGAAGGGATTTTTTGCTTTCTGTCTCTCTATCTCTGTCTCTCTGGCAAGTGCACATGGCCTATAGCAAAAATCTCTCTTTAAAAAAAAAAAGACTGCAGTGGGCATCTTGTGATCTCGGCAAGTCACTAACCCACTCTGCTTCAGCTTCCTCCTCTGGAAGTGAGGACAGCGGTACCTACCTCGCCGCGTTAGAACGAGGAATCGACAGAAGGTGCAGCACCGGGCCTAGTTTAGCGCACAGTGGGGCTCGGCCACGGCAAGCCAGCGGGTCAGGGCGAGTGGGTTCACCTTGCTGCTTTTCAGACTGCTCACGTATAAAGCATAATCACGCCTTTCTCACGAGAGTGACAAGAAGATTAAGCGAGACACCGTTAGAAACACCCTAAGTACCTTCCAGCTCTTCCTTGGACGCCGGAACGAACAACCACCATCCCTTAGATTTCTCTTACGGGAGCAAGGAGAATTGATCTTATTTTTATTATAGGAGTTTTTTTTTTTTTTTTGTCCTGATTATAAAAGAAACGCATCTGGTGCACATGCAGAGAAAAGCATGCAGACGTGTCTACACCAAACTGTTAAAGCACTCTCCTCGGGGAGTGGGGCTGAGAAACGAGTATTTTCACTTTGAACTCTATCACACTCGCACATCACCTGAAATGTCACAGCTGCAGTTACTCCTATAACACCTAAAAAATGAAAATACACACTTGCGATAGTTTATTTCCTTTTTTGTGTGTGCTTCTTGTGAGCAGAACTTTTGGCTCGGTTTGAGAGACTGTCCTTCAACAGGGAGTTTAATTGCCTTCATTGTCATAGCCGATATGTGCGCCTCCCTGCTGTCGTTGTACGCCGCCGATTTCTGACGTGACCATGTGGCACCCCGTTTCCTCTGTCTTTTGCTATAGGCGTTGTGTTTCCCTTTGTTTTAGTTTTCTACGGGGATGTGGAAAGTACAAAATCTGCTTTTTATTCTGTGAATGCTTTCAAGTCTTTCATGAACATGCTGGAAATTCTATTCTCTCTGGTGAAGTAACTCAAGGAAAATATGGTAACAGAGTAGCCAAGAGCCTAGGTTCGAATCCTGGCTCCATCCCTTACAAGCTGGGGAACCCTGGGCAAAGTGAAGGAACCTCTCTGGTGCCCGATGGAGACAAGAAGGACGCGATTTCCTCAGATTCGTCCAAGGTCAAACTTGGGTGACACTCGCAAAATACCTGCCATGGTGGGGTGTGATTACCTGGTTCTTCTTCAAAAGAGACAAGGAAGAGGTGAGTGCGGGCGAGCGAGAGTCGGCCTTCCCCACAGCTGCCTTTACTACCCGAAGGCTGTCTCGGGCACTTCTGGTTTTAAACATAGGCCCCCGCGCCCCGTGGACCCTGGGTCAGGGTCGCACATGCAGCCCGCGGGCCAGGCCCGGGCCACTCACTCACACAGCCGACGCTGCTGTCCCCGACCACCACAGAGCCGAGTGGTGACCTTCTGGGCCGCAGTCAGAAACCCGCCTCATCTGGCCCTTTAAGGAAGAGTCTGCTGACCCTGCTTTAGATCCTTCTTTCTAAATTTAGGAGAAGCCATTTTCTCCCTTGTCCTATAACAGCCTCTCGAAAGCTAAGTGGCTGTTAGCATATATTAAAAGATTTTCTAAAAGACCATTAGCTTCATTTAATTGTCCACAAGGTGGGGATACTTAATCAAAAACAAAATGAGAAAAACTGGAGAGGACAGAGATGCTGATTACAAAGCAGGGTTCTCCAAAGGCTGGGTGCAGGGAGGGAGTGGGAAGAGGCAAAGGGGTCGGGAGGGCCAGCCCCAGGGGCTTCTCACCCACCTGCTCCGAGGGTGCCGTCAGGGCGGGGGTCCGGCCACCCTCAGGGCACCTGGCTCTCCCTCTGCCTCTCTGAGATGCTGTCCACAGGCCCCCGAGCGCTGGCACCAGCTGCCCATCACCCTGAGAACGGAGCTGGTACTCTCTCCCTGTCAAGTCCCCTTATTTCTGTCCCCAGAGCTATGGCATTTCTCCCTCCAGGGACACAGCAAGAGTCGGAACGCAAAATTAGGACTCAGCCCATGAAGTAGGGGGCCGAAGGATGCCCTAGCAGAAACCGAACACTCCATGTTCCTACTTGGTCTGGGCTATTTCATGGCATCGCAGGGCTGTGGTCCAGGAGCACCCAGCTCGGGAGGGTGGGGAGTGGAGGAAAGGGGGTTCTGCAGTTACTGACTCTGAGGCTTCTCAGGGGACCAAGCCCATGAGGGTCTGGGCTTCTGCCTGGGGCTGCCCACAGTATAGCAGGGAATGAGGACCAAGACCATGAAACCGTAAAGAAGAATGTAATCGCGGTGAGACCAGATGTCCAACAGCGGGGCCCGAGGGTGGCCCGAGCAGGACAGCAGGATTTAGGAGGAGGAAGAGAGACAGATGGACATGAGGACGAGCAGAGTGTTCGGTGGAAACTGGGGAGCATGGGAGGATGAGGTCCGGCTTGGAGGAACAGTGGGTGCTAGCGCACCGACCGCCAGCCCCTGGGTCCGAGCGCAGTGGTGCCCTGCACGGCCACGTCTCAGCGCACACAGCTCCGTCAGATGCACAGTTTTCTCTCGGCCGTGGACGAGGGAGTTGCCTAACCTACACCCATGGGTTCGCAGTGGGCGGGGCTGAAGCCAGGCTTTCACGCCATTTCTCTGACCCCAAAGCACACACTGAGAACAGCAGACAAGGTTGTGGGGACCTCGCTGTGGGGACCTTGGCGGTCTGCTCCTGTCGTGGTTAGGGCAGGCTCTCGGGGGGTGGAAATGCACCAGCTGACCCCCCAGCGTGGATGAATAGTCAGCTGATTGGTCCAAGGCATTAAAAGCAAATTAACACTGGGGCTGGCAGGTGGCATGGAGGTTACGGTGGCCGGCTCCCACATGGTAGATTTCCACAGCCCTGGACCTGGTGGCTTGAAAATCACGCTGGGCACATGTGTGAGCACCCGAAACCCAAGAGGAGAACGGAGAAGGGATTGTGGTGTGACCATCTCCCCGGGGATGATAGCTCACTTTCCCCCTCTCTGTCTCTGTCTCTCTCTGGCGAATGCACGTGCCTGTAGCAAAAACTAAACAAGAAAGGAGGGAAGCAAGTGGTTTCAGAGCGGCATGTCCCGAGTGCCCTCTCTGCCAGGCCTGCCCTGACAGCGTGCCCACGACAGCCCTGCGAGGAGGTTCCCGCTATCATCTGCATTTTATAAATGGGGCAGCTGAGGTGCAGGATTAAGTCACCAGCTCCTGAGTTGGCTAGGGAGCTGCAGGGTGGGGACAGCAGACAGCCTGGTGGGAACCGGCCTCAGAGGACTTTGTGGGTGTGCTAGCCTAGTTAAAATGTCATTCATTCATTCATTCATTCATTCATTCATTCAGTGATTCAGCAACCCGTACCGACGGCGCATCCACCAGTGCCGGACAAGGCCGGAGGGTGGGGGGGAGACGAGGCCGGGGCCGCCTCCCTCACCGGAGCGCCCCACGGTGAGCATGCAGCACCAGCTGGGACACTTGCTCCAGCCAGGACTGCTCTCCGCAGACACATCTTGCTAGTACCCTTCTTTTTTCAGCTGAGAAAAAGAGGCAGGAGGGGTGGCTGGCCTGGGTTCCGGCCCAGGCCCCTCTGCTTGCGAAGTCCCCGTCCGCGGCCACGTGCTGTGCTCTGGGTCCCTCCTTTCCCACTGCCAGCTGTCAGCTCTGGGCAGTGACCTGGGACACGGTCTCCTTCCCATTCTCCTGTCCTCCCACTGAGGCCAGGCACTCGGATTCAGGGTGGGGACCAGTAAGAGAGCTCTCTCAGGTCTCCACCCCGTCCACCGTGGGAGACACGGGAATTCCCTTTCTGACTCACAAGAGAACTACAGCCCCTGCCTCCTGCGACACTGTCACTGCCCCCAAGGCCTACGGGGTCTCGGTCCTCACTCATCATTCACGAATGCTCACTGAGCACTCATTCCGTGGCTGGCGCCAGCTCGGTGCACACTTGACACGGCTTCTGCCTGCAGGAAGCTTAACCTACGTGTTAAATGCCTGCCGTTGGGTGGAACAGATGGCTGGTCTCTGAAATGGAGTCCAGAACTGTCCCACGCAGCCAGGTGGGGTCGAGGAGATGCCACAGTCGCCGTGTGGCGGCAGCAAGCAGTGCTCCTGCAGGCTGACCTGCCCAAGGCTCCCAGCGCCTGACCACCAGGAGGTCGAGGCAGTCTACCGGGCACAGAGGCCGAGACCGCGCGCCAGCCCAGGGAGCTGGGAAGACCGTGTGAGAGGAGGAGAGGGCAGGCAGCGTGCAAGACGGACACACAGTGTGGCCAGCGCTGCTTGGGGCTGCGGAGCCCCCTGGGCCGGAGCTGCAGACAGGCTCCCAATGGCTGATTCCAGGTACCCAGCTCAAAGAGGAGTTTCTGAGGCCTGAGCGCCAGAGCCAGCAGCCCTCCGGCTTACTCTCCGTTACCGTCCGAATGCCTGTGCAGGGGGGTCTTAGGAAGCCCTTCCATTCTGGTGTGAGGGCGGGGGGAGAGGGGGGACGGTACAGAGGGACTGCCCGCCGTGGCTCAGACCCCGCGGCCTGGCCGACACGACGTACCTTCACACCGCAGCACGGCGCTGTTCCAGACCACGCTGCCCTCCTTCAGGATGCACGTGATGGTCTCCGAGCCCTGCGTCCCGAGGAAGCCCTCGTCACACAGGAAGGAGATGGAGCTGCCCAGCTGCAGGCTGTCACCAAACCGCTTGCCGTTCACCGGGACGCCGGGGTCCGGGCACTCGTTGTGTCGGAAGGCTGTGGGTGGGGGGCGAAGACACGGGAGGCCGGGCTGGCGCGCAGACTGTCCTCAGAGGAAGCACCATCAGCCCTAGGTCTCCAGCACTTCCCCCAGACCCCGCCGCGCTGGAGGGAGAGCTAGCCCCCTAGGGGTCGGGCCCAGGGTCGGCCTGGCAGCCACAGGGCGCACTAGCACAGGCTGTTGAAGTGGACCGCGCTGCCCGAGCTCCCCAGCCCACTGCGCTCCAATGGAAGCGCCTAGTGCAGGTGGCGAGCTGTTTCTCGGGAGGTCATTTACCATGGACGTGGGGGTCTTCGAAACACTCATGGAAAACACGTATTACAAAAAACCTGGGCATGGATTTCCACAATTTTTTGCATCAAAATAAACTCATACTACAATTCCGTTCTTCTCTGAACTTTCTGAAACCCCCTTGTGTAACAATTCTATGAAGCAGATGGCGTTACCCCAGCTGGCTAATGAGGAAACCGAGGCTCGGTGCGGCTGAGGAGCAGGTCTGTCTGCTCAGCGCCAAATCCATTCCATGCTTCCCTGACTGCTGACAGTGATGGGGTCATTTACGCTGCAGGTGAGCTGGGCTCCAAATCCGGTGACGCGAACAGACACTGGGCAGCGGGAAGCAGGCGCCCTGGAGCAGCCCTGCGGCAGCCCTCGCCTTCACCTCTCGCCCTCCTCTGGGCTGCCTCTCCTCGGACAGGCGACCCATAACGCAGCGCGGAGGTGAGAGGTCGGAACACGGCAGGGTCAGTCCGGCCTGCCCCTGGCCAGTCACAGGGCCCTGGGCAAAGTGCGCGATCGCACCGAGCCTGTTTCCCGGCCAGCGACATGGAGACCATCTCACCCTTCACCTGCAGCATCTCCCGGGAGACGTGGGAGCGGCCTGGCTGTCGTGGGGCAGGCAGGGGGGCTGCCGCACAGTACCCAGCCACGGGGCCGGTTCAGATCCCAGGGCGCCCAGCTGGCTGGGAGGCTCTGGGGAGGACTTTGGTGTGGCAGCTCTGCTGGGGTAACTGTCCCTCTCAAAACAAAAACAAAAACAAAGTTGATGTGAACCGGAAAGTGGCTGTACCTGACAGATAGTAAGTGCTCATTAATTATGGGTTCCTCTCCTTCCCTCCCCTGCGAGGAAGGGTACCCCGTCCCACTCCTCCCACCCCACGCCCATTCCCTGCCCGCCTGCTGCACTCAGAGTCTCCGAAGTCAGCCTGGCTTGTGTCCCTGCTGTCTACAGGATGGCCTTTCCAGGGGGAGCAGCAGGTGGCATGATGGTTAAAGCACTGGACATTTCCACATGGCCAACCACGGTTCAAGTCCTGGACCTGGTGACTTACTTTCTCACTTTCTCTCTCTCTGTCTCTCTGGTCAACTTAAAATAAATGAATAATAAATAAAATTAAATAAAAATAATTCTTAAAAAAAAAAAAAAGAGCCCAGGTTTTGGGCCTCTTGACTTCCCCGGAGAGAAGACATCTGTATGTCCTGGAGCAGACGCGGCCCTGAGGCTGTTGGAACTTGCTGGAGGCAAGAGGCCAGCAAACAGGGAGAAACTTCCCACTGCAGATGAGCCGTGGGGCCTCCATACAGAGATGGCGGGAGGGATCCCGGCAGGGCCCGGCTGCCGCCCCAGCACCCTGCCCTCCTAAATGTGACATCCAGTTCAGTCCTGGCCCTGGTCTCCCTACTTTACTCACCAGGAGCTATGACAATGAAGTCGCCCGGCAGCTGAAAACACGGGGTAGGAAGAACAGTGGGGCCTGGGGCTCAGAGCTCCAGGCATTTTCTATTTGAAACCCTACCGGCTTCACATACACAGAGACACGTGCACACATGGTCACACGTGTGCACATGTACACACTCACAGGGCAGGTACGGAGCTCTTTCTAAGGTCTGGGAGCAAAAGAGTCAAGCATTTAACTACCGCTTACCTACCTGCATACCCTCTCTTTCTTTATTTCTCTTGCTCGCTCTTTCCTTCCTTCCTTCCTTCCTTCCTTCCTTCCTTCCTTCCTTCCTTCCTTCCTTCCTTCTTTCTTCTTTCTTTCTTTCTTTCTTTCTTTCTTTCTTTCTTTCTTTCTTTCTTTCTTTCTTTCTTTCTTTCTTTCTTTCTTTCTTTCTTTCCTATAGGTTATGTGTACTCACCAGGAGAGACAGAGACAGAGGGAAAGTGAGAGATCACCCCAAGGGGGGAGGGCCACACCACAATCTCTCCTCCTCCATCTCCTCGTGGGATTTTGAGCTGGCATGCACATGTGCCTGGTGTGAGTTTCAGGCTGCCGGGTCTGGGACGCAAACCATGTGCTGGGCCATGTGGGACCCAGCCGCCTTAACCGTGCCACCTGCTGGCCCCTTCCTGTGTACCTTGTCAAACCTCAGCTTCCTGGGTGTGAAAAGGGACGGGTCTCGGTTCGGGGAGGTTTTGTCGTGAGGCAGCGCTGACCGCGGAGTGCCCAGGGCAGGGCCCAGCACACAGAGGTACTCAGGAGCTGGTAGTTACCATCACCCGTGTCCACTGGCTCCGTGGGGAAGACGTCCGGCTACTCGAGGTCAGGGTGGGAAGGCCATCGCTGATCCGTGCCTCGGGAATAGCGTGAGGGGAAGCAGAGGCTGCCTCGCCCTGCAGAGGGCCGCCCGGGAGGGGAGCGCCCTGACTGAGCCAGTCCAGGCTGAGCACTAGGGGACGCGGGGGGCCGGGAAGATCAGTGCCTGCAGCGGGGACTACGCGGCTCCCCAACACCTGTCTGAGAACCACTGTTTCACCAGCTGATTCTGAACTGCCTCAGAAACCTGTAAAAATGTAGATTCCGGGGTCTCGGGCCTCAGAGAGTCTGAATCCGCCGGGCTAGGATAGGGCCAGAGTTCTCAAGATGCTGTCTACCTGCCCAACTATATAAATCCGGATGTTGGTAAATGTTCGCCAAACGTGGGCAAGAGCCGCCCCTGGGTGGGGGGCCTGGGGTGGTGAGTCCCATTTCTTGTTGGCCCTGCCCTGGGTCTGGAGGACTTCCGTATCAGAAGTGTGTCATTTTCACAAACCTTGGAAAGAACGCCAAGTCAGAGCTCGACCCTCCGGGCAGGCCGTGGCCCGCTGGTGGGGCTCACTCTGCCCCTCCCACGAACTCAGCCCCCTTTCCTGGGACCCGCGGCTAACTAGGACTTGATTTCCCTCTAAGGCCGTGAGTGTCCCTGTCGCTCGCTCCAAGTCCCCGTTGGGGTTCATATACTTTGAACCTGTAGATTTCCAGCCATCAGCAGTGGGTGAGCGGGCTTCTCTGGGCCCTCACCCTCCTGCTATCTATCCCCACCGGGAGAAGAAGGCATTTAGTCACTCGGGGGTCCCTCCAGTCACTGACGCTTACCTCACAGCAGGCCCCGTGCTGGGCAGAGGGGATCTAGAGGAGGGACCGGTGCCTACTCCTCCCCAGAGCACACGCTCTCATGGGGAAGGAGGAGCACAGACAGACCAGGAAGGTTAGGCCAGCCAGAGCAGGGCTCGCCATCCTCCTGCCCCTGGACGAGGGGAAAGGAATCCCCTGAGGAGACCTGCCCTGAGAGGCTGAGTGTTTCCAGCAAGTCTGGTGTCCTGAGGGGACATGGTGGGATCTGGCATGCTCCCTGGAACCTGGGGTCTCAAGTGGCCCACCGTGTAGCACCTAATGATTTCAGCTCAACTGGGACCCAGGAACAGGTGAGACGAGGAGGCCAGGCCTCTGAGGCCAGGATGGGGTCAGAGATCAGTCCT